GCTGAAAAACAAGACCCAGGATACCATCAACCAAACTGCAGGATAGAGAGTAGATAATTTGCATTACTTTATAGGTATTGCAGATAAATAATTCTGTTATCACATCTCTAATGAAAGGACTATAAGCGAGAGTAAACACTAATAAAAAGGCAGTATTTAAAAGAAGTTTTAAAACAGAGTGGTTGCCATTAAATGTAACATTAAAGTAACTTAACTGTAATTTACTTGCATTTGGCTCACAGTGGTGCTGAGAATATTACAAATTTTTACTGCCTAAAGCTCCACAGAAATCTTGATGTCTCAGATACCATTATAAAATAACAATAAAAGAGGTGAGTGATTCTCCACACTTCATCATTAGCAAATGCTACTGAAGCATCTCCATGTATTCACAAGGAAATGGCATTTTGCAGTTTCAAATTCAGCACAGCTACAGATGATCTTTGAGACCAATACTTAGATTGGGTGCAAAATATATGCAGAACTGTACCTTAACTAATGAAAAAAATGACATGTCTACACTCCTTAAATGCTGCATCCAGTTCTGGTTCCCCAGTTCAAGACACTGAAAGACAGGATAAAGTTCCCTGGAGGGCTACCAAGATGATACAGAGCTGAAGCACATAACATCCACAAAGGAACTGAGAGAACAAGTTTGGTTGGTCTTGGGAAGCCTGAGGACATATTTTATTATTGTCTATTATAGTGGGAGGGCATACAGAAGATGGAGCCAGACTTTTTTTGGAGGAGCACAGTGATACAAAGAGAGGCAATGGACACAACTGCAGGGCAGGGTGTTACAGAACTGAAGAGGTTCCCTCCAACCTGAATTACACAGAGAAATAGAAGTACAGATTGCCAAAGGCCAGTGTGACTGTGTGGAATCTACTGAACCAAACCTCCAAACCTTGTGCTGAAATCTGGCTACAAACCTGCTGTTCCACAGCAGGCAGATTCTTGAATGCCTTGGTTGGCTCAGGTCTCACATGCAGCAGTCCCACCTCTGCTGTTAACACCAGAAGCAGCAGCCAGGACTGAAGCAGCTGCTTCCCAGTCCCCAGTGCAACTGCTCACGTTTGGCAGCTCAAGACACTTCCATTTGCACAATCAGTCTGGGCCCCTCCAGCTTCAGTGGGGGCCTCAGAGCCAAGGAAAACACAACCACCAGATGCTGTTTAAAAATATAAACCAAGTATGTAAACCAAAAGTGACTTTTTCACAGCAGACACTTCTATTTCCTGTTTCTTTAGCAACAGATTGTATGTGATATAAACTGTTTCATCCCAAAAACCTGAATGACAGTCAAATGAACCAGTTATTTCCCTGAGGAAAAGTCTGATCTTTTATAACATCTTGGTTGTCTAATGTGTATCTGGGTACCCACAACTATAACACAACACATTATCTAAACCCAACTGCTTAAAAATATAACAGATTTTTTTCAAATGGTTTCTGTCTTAAAGCTACTTAAGGTTGTTTTTTTCTCTCTGCTATGCAGCAATTCCACATCTTGCATCCTTCTCAAAGGATTCACTTCCAGTAACACATTTCTCAGCTCTTTGCAAATAAATACAGGTGAAAGCATGCACACAGTCATAAACAAATTAGCAGATGTTCATCAATAAAAATTATACTCATGAAAAACAAATTGTAATTATTAACAATGGTGTTTTACTTACAGCAGTAGCCCAGTCATGTTTTAAGCTTTCTGCTTGATTATTATTGTGGTACTTTATTATTAGAACTAATCACAGGCAGTTACTGAGGTTCTTGAATAAGAGTTTTGCAAACAATTGTTGATGCTAAGAAGCTGCATCGAAATGTAAAGCTCCATCCAAGTAAAATATTTCCAAGGAAACCTTTACGGACGGACAAACTCCTATAACATGCAAAATTCTCTTAACTGAAGATGATAATTATGATCAAGGTGAAGTCATCAAGAGCTGAACAAATAGAAAAGTGTAAAAAAGTAGAAAAGTAAGCAGAGAAGGGCAAGTGTAGAGTCTTGCATCTGGGGAAGAACAACCCCATGGACCAGTACAGGCTGGGGGCTGACCTGCTGGAGAGAAGGGTAGGAGAAAGTGACCTGGGGGTCCTGGTGGGCAGGAGGATGACCATGAGCCAGCAATGTGCCCTTGTGGCCAAGAAGGCCACTGGCATCCTGGGGTACATTAGAAAGGGAGTGGTTAGTCAGTCAAGGGAGGTTCTGCTCCCCCTCTATTCTGCCATGGTGAGGCTGCATCTGGAGTATTGTGTCCAGTTCTGGGCCCCTCAGTTCCAGAAGGACAGGGAACTGCTCGAAAGAGTCCAGCGCAGAGCTACGAAGATGATGAAGGGAGTGGAACATCTCCCTGATGAGGAAAGGCTGAGGGAGCTGGGTCTCTTTAGCTTGGAGAAGAGGAGACGGAGGGGTGACCTCATCAATGTTTACAAATATGTAAAGGGTGAGTGTCAGGAGGACAGAGCCAGGCTTTGTTCAGTGATGTCCAGTGATAGGACAAGGGGCAATGGGTGCAAACTGGAGCACAGGAGGTTCCATGTGAATATCAGGAAGAACTTCTTTCCTGTGAGAGTGACAGAGCCCTGGGACAGGCTGCCCAGAGAGGCTGTGGAGTCTTCTTCTCTGGAGACATTCAAACCCACCTGGACACATTCCTGTGTCATGTGCTCTGGGTGACCCTGCTCTGGCAGGGGGGTTGGACTGGGTGATCTTTTGAGGTCCCTTCTAACCCCTAGGATTCTGTGATTCTGTGAAAGGTAAATTTCAATACCTGTCATCAGGGGTTTGCTGTCAAGCCCAGACAACCTGTCAAATGAGATGATCCAAGGCTTTGACCAATACAAAACAATTCCAAAATTCTGACTGGCTATGTAGGTGATGAAATACAAAAACATTCCCAATAATAATGTCCTCAGAAAAGATGTCAGTGCTCACAAAGCTAATCGTAGAATCATAGCAAATGCTGAGTTGGAAGGCACCCATCAGGATCATCAAGTCCAACTCCTGTCCCTGTGTAGGACACCCCAGGAATCACACCATGTGCCTGAGAGCATCATCCAAAGGCTTCTTGAACTCACACAGGCTTGGTGCTGTGACC